TTATATATGTAAGATGTATAATATAGATAGATATTTTACTCTGAGTTATACCCTAATAATAGCTTTACTTTTTGCTGAAATTCTCCTAGATTTGGCCATTGGTAGGGCTATCAAGTTGCCCCAAAGTCTTTTCTTTTTTTTTTAACCTCATGTGTCAGTGGTTCCTTTAATCAGAGGTTCTTTTGAACTAACTTCTAATCTGCTCTGAGGCCTCTTTTCTTTCTGAGACAATATATTCCAGACTCATCTTAGACATTCTCTTCCCCAGTCCTGGAATCAGCCAATTTTCTAATGATCTCCTGGTCTCTTTTTTAAATGGCATTTGGTAATCAAAATTTAGGCACAAGGTGTGCTTACTGATACAGGGTTTTGTCACTTCTAGGTCCTCTGTGGATGTAGTTGAGAAGTATTTATACTTATGCATCCATCGATCTCTACATACGCATTTATATGTGTGCATATAACATAAACTAGTATTTGCCTCATTGGCTTCCTGAGTTCTCACTCTTGCCATATTTATTTGGAAATTTGTTTTAGTTTTTTCAGACACGATCTTGCTACATTGGTCATGTTGGTCTAGAACTCCTGGGCTCAAGTGATCTTCCTGCTTCAGCCTCCCAAGTACCTGGGACTACAGGCATGTGCCACCTGGCTTGTTTTACCTAGTTATTGCTCATCTTTGGGTCCACAACATGTGTGTTCAGAAGCCTCATGTGGACCTGCTGGAGTCCAGCTCCAGCTGAGTCCGGACCCTGAAGGGGTGAAGGTAACTAAGGCGGAAATGACTATACCAGAAACCACAGTTGCAGTTCTAGTAGAGGCTGTTGACTGACCTGCTTGGGAGAGGTCAGCCCAAATATCTTCTTTCTTTCTTTCTCCTGAAAAAGAAGCCTTCTACAACCTTTATTTATAATTAGAAAGCTTACAATAGCGGTAAAGCATCAGACCATAAATCAAACCACGAGTTTGCACAATATTTCTCAGTGTACAATATTTTTCAATAATCACAGTAAAAGGAAAGTACAAATTTCAATGATTAACCTTTTCTTAACATAGCCAAGCAATGTCTTCACTGTTTTCTTTATAGCCTCGCAGTTTCTATTTTACCATAGAAGTATAAGACAGCCTGTTCCCATTTGCCCTTTAATTCTTTGAATTTAATATTTACAGGTAGGCGTGTATATTTGAGAAAATTATTTGTCTCATGGGAACGGGAACAACCAACTCTTTTTATTTACTGTCTAACCAATATTCCAATTTACCTTTTTCCTCTCCCTTTTGCTGTTTCTTCCTGAATGTTTTATATTCTTTGAGTCATATGATTGTTTTCTCTATTTGAATATCCTTTATTATTTTTTTGCCATTTATCTTTAAGGGCTTTTTGAATCGCTTTTAGTCTTTGTAAAAGAATAGGCAGTTTTTCTTCAGAGGTCATGCACCACCAGATTTTTACCGACTTAGCTAATCTTTCTATCCAAGGAGTTTCCCTAAGCCAAGTAGTTTTTCCTGATACCAAACTTCAGTCTCAATAGTTCCTCATTCAGGGTTAAAATCATAAACTCCTGTAAAAGGCGTTTAGGGTTAAAGTCATAAATTCCTGTAGAAGGCAGCAGGGCATCTATTGCATGCTATCTTTTCCTTTTGGGGGAAACCAAGCCTCATTATTAATCACAAATGCAGGTCCAAACGGGGTCATAGGTGTAGGAGGAAGTCGTCTATCTTTTTACTTTCATTTTGTTTTAGTAACATGATAATTCTGCTAAAGGCAGAGATTTCCCCGGTTTAGTTTCCCATTCCATCATCAGAGTTGCTTATCAGAATACTTAAAGAAGAGAAGGTTATATAACTTAGAAAAACCAGGAGTAACTGGGGAAGGGATGTCCACCAAAAGAGCAGAGGTCATCGGCCTTCGGCTGGAACTTCGTCAAACAGCACTCTTGCCAAGAACCATGGAACTCTTTTGGCCATCGGCTTTCGGCTGGAACTTTGTCAAACAGCACTCTTACCAAGAACCATGGAACTCTTGGAGCCACCATGGACCTCACCATTTACCCTTTCCATGCTAGCCTAGTCACAGTCAAGTACTCAACAGATTACTTCCTGAGTGTCACAAAGCTACTCTCAGATAGGGAACTTGCCCACAAGCAAGTCCATACCTCTCCTCTCTCCTGACTGCTCAGACCAAACCAGTGCTGAGGCTCAGCCCCCAGGGTCTTACCCACGTTAGGCAAGCATTCTACCACTAAATAGACCTTCCCAGACCACTCAGGTTTTCATTTTTGTTTGACAAGTATGAATTTTCTCTTTTGTTTTGACAGAGTTTAAGCATCTTTTTATATGTTTAAGCATTATTTTCATTTTTCTTTTGTAAATTATCTGACTCTATGTTTTCATCCTTTTCCTAACGTTGGGGCTTTTGAATCTGTCTTGCTTCAGATTTTTTAACATTCCCAATGTCAAATTTTGTACTCTTTGTACCTATGTTTGCTTTACCAAATCTTTATAAATTACACAGTGTTGGCATACCACACTCAGTAATGGAAAGACAAATGCCTAGCGTTATTTACTGATAGTGATGGTGTTCAACAGATACACGTAAGGAAAAGAACATTTTAAGCACACCCCTCCCCCTTTTTTTTTCAAGACAGAGTCTTGCTATGTAGCCCTGGCTGGCCTGGAACTCACTATATGGACCAGCCTATCCTCAAACTCACAGAGGTCCTCCTGCTTCTGCCTCCCAAATGGTGAGGTTAAAGGAATGTTTGGATTAAAGACATGTACTACCATGCCTGGTCTGCCTCTTCTTTTTAAAATTAAATCCATTTTACTCTTCTCTGGAATAACCCAATATAGTTTGCACATGACTGTTTGCTAGGATCCAGGGCACCAGGGGATCTGATTCAGACATGTTTAAAGCATCCTTGAACATGCACTTCCTGCCACATGGAGAAATACTTGAACATTTCCTAGTTTCTAAGATTATTCTTGGTTTCATATACTGCTCTCTTTTTTGTTCAAGGAAACTACTAAACTAGTAGGTATTGCAAGTGACGAAATCTAGGGAGAAAAAATGGTGACTGGAGAAATAAAAAGTACTAAGATGAAAAGAATGGAGCCGATCTGCCTATTTTTAAGTGTTCTGCACAGACAGGGAAGAATGTAGGCGAACAGGTGGTGTGCTCACATTGTTGAAGTATCTAGAGAGCATATGTTTTTAAGTTTTAGTGTTTTCCTTTTGTTCCTTTTTTTAAAAAAAAAATTTTATTTACCACCTCTATGTGTATGAGTGTACTGCCTGCCTGCATGTGAGTGCACCCATGTCGTGCAATGCCTCAGAGGTCAGAAGAGGGCCTCAGATTCCCCTGGAACTGGAGTCAAGGACAGTTCGTAGCCACCATGCGGGTGCTGGAAATCAAACCCGGGTCCTCTGCAAGAGCAGTCAGTGCTCTCAACCTCTGAGCCATCTCTGTTCTTTTTAAAATATGTACTAAATTCTGAAATGGGAACACCTCAGCATCTCACACAATGAGTGCTTAATTTAACAAGATGTTTTAAAAACCTACTGTGAACCTAACATTAAATTTGATGCTAAAGAAAACGGAAACAGAGGAGGCTAGGGAGGAGATGCAGGAGGTAAGAGCACTTGTGCACAAACATGAGGACTTCAGGTTGATCCCCAGCACCCACATAAAAAGCCAGGCTTGGCAGTGCACACCTGCAATGTTAGCACTGTGAGTGGAGACAGGAGGGATGGCTGGGCCTTGCTGGCCAGGTTCAGTGAGAGAGCCTTCTCAAGAGAATAAGGTGGAGAGTGATGGAGCAGGACACCTGGCCTCCACAGGAACATGCACATGCACAAACACTGTATATACACTGCACACAGAGATACACACACACACACACACACACACACACACACATACACACACACTTCTTTGATAGGAGAAGAGGTTTTCTGTTTTCCAAGAGGTCTTCAGTGGCAAGTGTCATGGGTGTTAATGCCAACTTCCTTTGTATTTGTCTGGTTTCTTTTATTATTTACTACACTTGTCTGCAAACTATACTTAATACTCTCTAGTCTTTTTGGTTGTGAGCCTGAGCCTTTATCTGCTGCACCAGCTCTCTAGTCCAACTTAATACTCTCAATGAGTGTATGAGGTAAGTAGCTTAGTCACCATTCCATTTTACAGGTGAATACATGGAAATGTAAGTGACTGGTTAAACAACTCATCTCTGACTCCAAACCCAAGTCACTTTCCTGCACCTCATATCGCCTTTCATGATGGAGAGAAATTAGGAGTAGCCTAAAGAAATATACTTTATAAAGACTTTGCTGGGCTGTCTGGTGGCACATGCCTATAATTCCATCATTTAAAAGATTGAGGCTGGAGGATCATGAGCCTAAAGTCAGCCTGGGCTACAAAGGAGACCCTGTCTCAAGTAAACAAACAAACAAAAACAAAACAGGAAAGTCCTGTTGGGCAGAATATGTGTGGCAAGGGACTATTAGGCAACACTGACAAAGGAATGTAGGTCCTAGTAAATCTGAAGTGATGTCAGCTTGGATGCAGGAGAAGAGTGTCCATCTAAACCAAGTTCAAAATAAACAAGAGTCTCATAAATGATTAAGAAGGAGAAAGTGAATGTCAATAAAAGGCTTTAGAGAAGGCTGCTTTCCACAGTTTGCTACTTCTGACCACTGTCATAAGCCAGTCACTTATTTCCCATCTCTTATGGATAGCAGGTAACTATCTAAAAATAGTACATGAATAACCTTACTCCATCCCTTTCTCCCAGAAGAAGCACCTGTTCACCTTATCAGTTCAGTGAATCCCTTTCCCCTGTGGCATCTATTCCCAGAGAGGTAGGGACAGAAATGCTCTTAAAGACCAGCAAGCAGTTTAATCTAAATGCTTGCCCAGCCGTCAGAGTACACTGCCTCTAATGAGCACCTTTCCGGAGCATCTCCAGGCTACAAATGCAAACTTTTTCCTTTTCAGACCACAGCATTTGAGACCCTGCATTGAAGATGGCTCAGGCACCAACAGTCATTGTGACTCAACCTGGATTTGTTCGTGCACCCCAAAATTCCAATTGGCAGACAGGCATGTGTGATTGCTTCAGTGACTGCGGAGTCTGTAAGTGTTGGGGAAAGTGTCCCCCATCATTGATATAATGTCCAAATCCTCCCCAGATTCCTCCCTTTTGTATGGTAGAAGTTTCTAACTTATTACAGACTCTTGCATATCCAGCAATGGTTCAATCAATGACAAAAAAGACAATGCTCTCTGCTGATTATAGCTAATTCTTCCCTGGCCCATCAAAGAATTGTATTACCTCTAAAATAAGCTCTAGAGTTATGATAACAGTGAGAGAGCTAACTGATTCTAAAAACGAGCAAGCCTGACCTAATAATTATAAATAAATTATGCATGAATGAAGCATTTCAAGCTTAACTAGATATTTTTTAAACAAGAAGACTGTTCTCGATTATAAATAAACTGAAATCATTATTTTATAGTTACACGGTATCCAGGACACAGGATACAGTTTTCAGACTTGGTTTCAGAGAATCATTTTAGTTTATACAATTAAGTTTCCCTGCATGTCTGAGAATAAAAAATTCTGAAGGCAGTTAGTTAGCTTGTCATTGGAAATAATATCTCTGACTCTCCCTGTTCTCCCTCAGTGAATCTCTATAAGTAGGATCCCGCTAAGATCTAAGTGAACTTGGAAGAAAGAAAGTTTAGAAGTGAAATGGGGTGGCAAAGGGGACCGGGGGCTTTGTGTCCAGCACAACCAGGAACACAATGTTAGCCCATTTTTAAACAAGGAAAGAAAATACACTGGCTTTAATATTCAATGAAATGGAACTTGAACTGAATCAAGTTAATAATTGCATCAGGAAGTTCTCTGTCTTAAATGGTAGCTGGGGCTGACGACGTACATGTCTCAAGATATTTCAGTTTGGCATCTGCAATTCAAAGTGATAATGGAGACTATAACAGAGACAAGCATTTAATCCTCCTGCCCCTAGTTGTTACTTAATTATTTGAATGTACAGTTGCTTCAAATACAGAAGTCCTGAGGTAGTCTGCATTGCTTCATGGAAGATTTTTTTTTTTTTAACTTTTTTTGAGTCAGGGTCTCCCTATAGCCCCAGCTGGCCTGGAATTCGCTATGTAGATCAGGCTGACCTTGATCTCACAGAGATCCTCCTGCTTATGCTTCCTGAGTGCTAGGATTAAAAGTGTGTCCCACCACACCCAACTTGGCAGATTTTTTAAAAAATATAGTATTTTTATTAATTGACAATGTCATGCATACAATGTCTTTTGATCATATTCACCCCCTGCATATTTCCTTTAAATATAGATGACCAAATAATTCTCCCCTTATAAAATACTTGTGGCTTTGATGACACAATGTGAGCACCCCTAATTAGTCATCATCTGACCCCCTTGTATTAGTCAGGGTTCTCCAAAGAAACAGAATGGGTAGAATGAATATATATGTATAGAGATTTATCAGCTTAGCTCACAGGATAGAGTCCAAGTAGTCCAACAATGGCTGCATCACACTGGAGAGGCTGAGAATCCGTAGTCGCTCAGTACACAAGGCTGGATGTCTCTGTAGTCCCAATCTGGCACTGAAGGTCTGACAAATTCCAAAAGATCAGCTAGTCTTCAGTCTACAGCAGCAAAATGAACTCACCAACGAGAGAGAAGGCAAGCAGCAAGAAGCCAGGCATTCTCCTCTGCCCTGGCCTTTTATATGGGCTGCCACCAGAAGGTAACACCCACATTTAGGGTGTGTCTTCCAGCTTCAGATGATCCAATCAAGATCTCTCTCATTTCAGTTAATCCCAGATCCAGTCAAATTGACACCCAGGATTAGCCATCACACCCCTAGACTATATCATCCCAGCTTCACCCCCATCTTATCCCAGGACTCCAGCCACAGTGAATGGCTGTGACAAGTTATCTCAAAGAGACTTTATTTCCTGTAAATTTTTTATTTTAGTCTGCTTTTAACATTTCTAACCATCCTCCAATATTTAGCTCAAGCAGTACCTCCTACTCAGGGCCTTGTAGGCTCCACTCTGACCCTGGGGCATCCCAGGCTGGTTTCCACTGGGCATCCTTTCCTGTCATGTCCCTAGGGGACTTCAGCTGGGGGCATGGTTGGTACTGAATGTTATACCTGGAACATGACTAGGTTTCAGTAATTGACGAATGAGTGGAGGATGGCACTGCTGCAAAAGGAATGACATACTTTCCAAGCGAGATCGCGATCGCTCGTGAGAAGCCTTGGGGGTGAAGGAAGTGACCAAGCCCCTCTGAAACAGTGACGATGGACTGGGTAGAAGGGTATGGGCAAAGGCTCGTGATGTGACAGCTGTCTGCAGCTGAATTCACACTCGGCGTGGTGGGAGCAGACTAGAGTAACTGGGGGCCTCTGTTTCATGCATCCAGGTATCTGCGGCACATTCTGCTTTATGTGCCTTGGGTGTCAGGTGGCAGCTGACATGAACGAATGCTGTTTGTGTGGAACATCTGTCGCAATGAGGACTCTCTACCGAACCCGATACGGCATTCCCGTGAGTCTCTTACCTTCCTCTATTTTTCCAATATGCGACCACATTCATAGTGGTTGCTGTAGCATGTCTGCCATTTGATGGTATTCACACTCAGCATTTGATTGGTCTCTGGTGCGACTTGGGATGCCGTATCCCTGTATCCTGAGGCAAGCATCCAGTGCAGCTCCGGCGATGCTTAGGCCAGCTTTGGTGGCTCCGTATCTTCCCGCCGCTGGCCTGAGCTCTGGGTTCATGTGGTGTTCGGTGGGTGGAGTAGGAGGTGGCTGCATCAGGTTGTTTGGCTCCTGCTTTCTTCATCATTGGAATTCCAGCTGCTTTGTATTTTCCCCAAACTGCTCAAATTTTCTAGCCTATTAATCGTCACCGGTACCCATTTTCTAATGCAACATTTTTTTTAAGGTACTAAAGCCCTGAAGCAAATTGTTTTTTAAATGATCTAATTTTTCAGTTTGTTCCCAAACCTCCTTCTCTAGCTTGTCCTTCCCCAGAGCACATTTGTGGCGTTTCCTTTGAATCTTCAAATCACAGCCTTGAATTGCGCTTCTCTGGGGGTCTTTCCTGCCACTTCGACCACAAAGGCAGGCTTTGGTTCTGTGGTCTTCCCTGGCTCCCAACCTCACTCCTCCTCAGTCCATACCGATCTACATACCTTTGCCTAATTCTGTATCTAATATTTACATCAGGATCCTTAACACTGCTTTATTCAATTTCAAAGTCACATTATATACATGATTATATTTCCTGTCCAACTTTGTTTTTCTGGGTATTGATAACTATTGGGTTTTTCCTCCATTTACTTATGTGTACTTTAGTCCCAAGCTCTTTTCCACTTTCCTAAATCTCTTCCCAACATATTCAACACGTTAGATAGCATCATTTTCTTTTTGATGCAACTGCTTTCTGATCTTTTGAATTATTTGCTTTGAGTAAGTAGCTTTCTGACAGTGAGCAGGTATAGGGGAAAAGAGTTGAGATTTTTACTTTCTGAATCTCCTTATTCTAGTCTTAGACTTGGTAGTTTGACTGACTTGTCTTACATTCCCAGAATTATAAAGTACAGGAAAGCATGGTGTGTCATAAGAGGCAAGTGATACATGGAAAAGTCAGTTACCATTTCCTAAATGAATCCATTTAAACTGAATCTCCGGCTAATGAGGTAGCTCAATCAGTAAAGGCACTTGCAGCTAAGACTGACAACCTGAGCTTAATCCCCAGGCCCCACATGATGGAAGGAGAGAACTGACTCCTGCAAGTTGCTTTTTGACTTCCATGTACATGCCCATGTGCACAAACACACAAAACAAAATGTAAAAACAAATAAATAAATAAAAATAAACTGAATACAAAGAATCAGGGCCTTTGGTTCACTTGAAGGTGCCTGAAAACCCGCAAGCCTTAATCACAAGCAGGTGCACTGTGCATTTACGTATCTTCCATATCTTCCCACAGGGGTCTATTTGTGATGACTACATGGCCACCGCCTGCTGCCCTGTTTGCTCTCTGTGCCAAATCAAGAGAGATATCAACAGGAGAAGAGCCATGAATGCTTTCTAAAGAGCCTGATGATGAATCAGTTTGGAGCTTGAGAAACAGAATTAAAGGCTGGATCATTTATTCATTGCTTGGAATGAAATGCAGGAATAGCAATTCCTTAAGTCTCTCAAAGGGCTATCTTATTATAATACAAGATTCATTTAGATTTCTTCTAGAAAGAAAATAGTTCTGTGTTTTTTTAAACCATATTTTAGTAAATAATGGTAAATTTTCTATGATGTAAAAGATACCAATACTGTAAAATAAAAAGAGCTTTAAAGTCAGGTATGTTGTGTATGCCTACAATCCCAGAACTCAAGAGGCAAAAGCCGAAGAATTACCCTTAAAGTCAGCCTAGTTTACAAAGTAAGTTCCAGGTCAATTATGGTGACACAGCAAGATCTTGTCTTAAAAAAAAAAAAAAAAAAGGGGGGGGGGCTAGGGAGAAGGTTCAGCAGTTAAGAACTGTGGCATGGCTGATGGTGGGTACTGGGAACCAAACCATGGTAGCTAACAACTCTCTGGAACTCCAGTTTCAGGGGATCTGACACCCTTTTCTGGCTTTTGTGGGCATTGCAAGACACAGATGCACTTACATACATGCAGGCAAAATACTCATGCATATAAAATAAAAATAAATTTAAAATTTTTAATTATTAAAAAACAAGAGGCTGAGGAGATGGCTTCATGGGTAAAGTACTTGCTGTGCAAATAGGAGGATCTGAGTTTGGATTCCCAGAACCCACACAGAAGCTAGGAACCGTGGCTCACGCCTATAACCCTAGCACCGAAAAGCAGAGATGAACGAGTCCCTGGGGCCCACCGGCTAACCAGTCTAGTGAAGTGGCAAACTTCCAGTTCAATAAGAGATCCTATTCCAAGAAGGAAGATGAAGAAGTGATCAAGGAACAACATCCCAGGGTCAACCTCTGGCGTCTTTCGTGGCCAAGCGTACCTGCACACTCACATGCACACACACAAAGTTTTTAGAAACTGAAAAAAAAAAAAAGAAGTTGAAGATATGCTTTCTGCTAAGACAACTTGATGACACTGGTAAATAATCATAAGATGAGAATTTTATGATAATATAAATATTGAAAGGCAAGTGCTACAGAGTCTGTAACATGTAGATTATTTGTGGTATAAAATATAGTTACCTCTTCAGAGGGGGAAATGTTAGAGTAGCCAAAAGCCCCATAAAAATAAATAAATAAATAAATCAAAGAAGAAAAAATAAAAAAGGAAGACTGAACATGGGACAGGGGGACAAGTGCACCGCCATGGTCTATGCTCCAGGTTCCTGCCCTTTGCTTCCCTTGATGATGGACTGTGAGCTGTAAGCCAAATAAACCCTTTCCTCTCCGCCCCCCCAAATATATATATTTAGTAAGATGGTGGTTTAACAGGTAAGTCCTGGTGGAAAGATACAGCTATGGCAGAAGGCCAAATCAGAAACATCAAGCAATCAGCTGTGCCAGGAGGGCACAGATGTCCTTGGACATCATACTAGACTGATGGCCTCCCCAGCAAAACCAGTCTTGTTTGGCAAGCATGTACAAATACCAATACATGCAAGTATATTTCTTGATGGAACAACTAAAAGCACGTACATACTGATATAAATGTTTATAGAAACTTATTTTTAAAAATATATTTATTATTTTAATTTTATGTGTATGAGTATATCACCTGTATGTATGTATGTACACCCATGTTGTGCAATGCTGGTGGAGGTCAGAAGAGCTCATCGGATCCCCTGGAACTGGAGTTACAGACGGTTGTAAGCTGCCCAACATGGGGGCTTGGAACTAAAGTCAGGTCCTCTGTAAAAGCAGCCAGTGTGATTAACCATTGAGCTGTCTCTCTCCAGCCCCTGGAAACTTATACATGTGTCCTGCTCATCTGGCACCTTACCACACTCCATAGAATAAAAATCATATGTGGCAGTACTTGATACATATGTCTGCAACAAACACATACAAGCAAATGTACATTTAAATAATGAATATATACCTATTAAAATGCTTCAGTTTAGATTAAAACAAAATACATCAATGAACAAAAAGATCTTATTGTAGAAAAATGTCCTTCAAAAAGAGATAAAGAACTGAACAATAGTTGGAAATATTTAGAATTTCCCTATCTGAAGTTCAATCAAGTCCTTCTCTTCCAACTAATTTTTCTCAAGATTATCTATTGAGAATGTAGTTAAGTAGATGCCAGCATTGAATTGTTACTTATCTCTATAGGATATCTCAAGCATGAGAACATTAATTTTTCCATTTTTAAAAAGAATCTCCTACCTCCTGTCTGAAGTAAATGAGAACTCTGCATAGGCTAACAAAAATAATTTTCAATTTTTTAAAGATTTATTTTATTTGTGTGTGTGTGTGTGTGTGTGTGCAAGTGCCAGCAGAGGCCAGAAGAGGGTGTCAGATCTCTGGAGCTGGAGTTACAGGTGGTTGCAAGTCACCTGATGTGGGTGTGGGAACCAAATTCTGTCCTCTGGAAGCACTCTTAAGTGTCTCCCTAGCCCCCAAAATGTCTTGAAAGATGCATAAAGCAGTGTTCACTTGTTTTGCAAATAATGTATTAAATATTAAGTAAAAATTCTGCTAGGTCAGGGACAAAAATAAATGAGTCCCCTGTCCTTACAGATTTTAAGCCCCTACATAAAATGCAGAGTTTAATGGATGCCTTTTATATTATGTTCAGCAGAAAAACACTTGGTAGATGAATGAATGAGTGACAGTTTCTTGAAAGAAATGAGTTTTGATTCTAAAGAGGAAATGTGTCACCAGTTCACAAGTAGTAAGTAGATTTGAATGGTGGGATCTAAAGAAGGCTGATGGAGGAGTGTGGCTGGAGGTAAATGACAGGAGGCTGTTCTCTAGCCAGCTGGCAGCTCAGCTGTTACCTCCTTTAGGCCCCAGGGAGAAAAGGGATTTATTACCAGAATCCCTCAGGGAAGAGCTACATGAAGAAACTCCCAGCAGAGCAACACTATCCTCTCAATACCAGGACACAGCTGCCCTAGGCAGTCCTTCCAGAATGGGGTCAGGGAAAAAATACACTAGGCTCATTTGATGTCCTTTGGGGCTTCCCCTCCACTGAACCCACCAGAAAGGCAGAAGATGGGGATGGATTGCTGTAGTCCACAGGCCAGCCTCCCAGGGCTGATGGTGGGTAGACAAGGTTTAACTGCTATGTGTGATTAGCATGAACACAAATGGAAACTAGTTTCAAATCAGCAAGGCTATCAATGAGACTATAGAGGCAAAGAAAGTTTTTAAGGGAGCTGGAGAGATGGTTCAGTGGCTAAGAGCACTGGCTGCTCTTGCAGAGGGTCTGGGTTCACTTCCCAGCACCCACATGGGTGCTAACGACCATCAGTAACTCCAGTTCCAGAGGATCCAATGCCTTCTTCTGGCCTCCTCTGCTTTGTATGACATGGGTACACTTATGTACACGCAGGCAAAACACTCATACACATACAAATTAATTAATTAATTTTAAAAATTTAAGGAAAAATCATCGTTATAGGCTTAGGGCTAATTTTACTGGAACATATGGTATAAAGAGGAAAATAATGAAACATGAAAGAGTTTCAAAAGTGAATTTGTGCCTTGGCACGCAATGAATACTAAGCTAATAACACGGAAAACTTGAAGAAGTCATTGTTAGATGCTACGTGAAAAAATAATCCTATGATAGAATACCATACAGATGGTCAGGATAAAGGCAAGAAGCAAAGTTGACCCACTGCATCACCATTAAATTAAATAAAGACATGAACAATTCGCACAAATTATCTAACTATGTATACATACTACTGAGTCATCAGATCTGAACTTTTTTTAATCTGAGAGAAAAGCTCACTGAATCTTTGAGTTAGTTTGAAGTAAAATTTCCTTTGTGATCCTGACTCTTGATGATCATCTTGAACCCTACATTATTATTCATTGATAATAAACCTAAATACAGGGTTAGGGATATAGCTCAGTTAGTAGAGTGCTTGTCTAGCATGCACAAAGCCTGGGTTCTATCTGCAGTACAGCATAAAGACAGGTGTGGTGGCATCACCTGTAATCTCAGCACTTGAGGGATGGAGGCAGAAGGATCGAGAGTTCAAGGCCAGCCTTGGCTACATTGCAAGTTTGTGGTCTGCCTGGACTACATGAGATCCTGTCTCAAAAACAAAACCAAAACAAGCAAACAACGAAAAACCACCAAAAATCTAAATATAAGATAACTAAAAGAAAGCCAGGTGTGCTGGTGTACACTTTTAATCCCAGCACTCAGAGCACAGAGGCAAGTGATCTCTGTGAGTTTAAGGGCAGCCAGGGCTACATAGTGAGACTTTATCTTAAAAAAAAAAGATTGAGATAAAGGGACATAGAACCAACTTCAACCTTAAATCTGCTCATAACCAAAACTGAATGTTTTTCAGTATAATAATGTAATTTTGGATTATAACACATTATCACGTTATCAAAAATTTAAAACAGCAGCTAAGGAGAGAGTTTAGTCTGTAAAGTGCTTTGCCAAGCAAGCATGAGGACCTACAAGTTCAAGCCCCAGCACATAAAAAGCTGGACATGGTGTGTGTACTTGAAATCCTTGCACTGGAGAGGTAGACTGGCAGAGACAGGCAGATCCCTGGGGCTCACTGGCCACCAGTTCTGCCAAATCGGTCAGCTCTGGGTCCCAGTGAGATACCTTGTCTCAAACACCAAGGTGTGGACAATGCTCAAAAACGACACTTGAGATTGACCTCTGGCCTCCATATGCACATGTACCCATGCACACGCACCCCCACACAGGCGCACACACAAAAATTTAAAATTTGTATCAAAGCATCCTGAATAATTGAGTAATTTAAATTTTTTTTCGTTTAGTTATTTGTGCATGTGTGCGCCTGCACATACAAGGGAAGGTGAGAGGACAATTTTGGGGAGTCATTTCTGTCCTTCTATTTGGGTCCCAGGGAGTGAACTCAGGTCATCAGGCTGAGCCTTTACCGACTGAGCCATCTCACTGGCCCATGAATAAAATTTTAAATTAAAAAAAAAAAATGTGTGTTAAAGGCAGGGAAAATTGGGAAATTTGAGGCAAGTAAGTGGCAGGATGATTTCTGGATGGGAGAAGAGACAAGCCTCTTGGGCAGAACTCCAAAGATGTGCGAGGACAGTCCTCCCTCAAGTGGAGCAGGGCTCCCCTTCTAAGTGGAGGCTTGTGCTGCAGCTTTCTTCCTGAGAATGGTGTGAGACCTCCCTTTGCTGAGGGAGCAAAGTTCTCCTCATCCACAGTGCTCAGTTAGATAGGCAGCTTGCATCCCCAAAATGAGGAGAAAATGGCACTTGACCCTGGCAGTTTTCCTAACCACAAGGAAAAGTTCAGGTAAACCTATACTGGGACACATTCTACAAATTTCCCACTCAGTATTCCTCAAAAGGAGTATTGAGTCAAGGTCCTCAGAACATAAGGACAGTCTAAGACATTGTCAATTCAGAGGAACCTAAGGAAATATAACAACCCAAGGCAATATGCTGTACTGGATGGGATCCTATGACAGAAAAAGTCCAGTAGGTAAAATCTGAGGAATCTGAATAAAATGTGGTTTGGTTAATAATGTGCCAATGTGGGCTCATCGCCTGTGATAAGCCTACCATATGTTGTCAACCAACAGGGAAACAGGTACAGGATCCATGGGACTCTGTACCAGTTCTGTTACTTTTCTGTAAATCTGAAATGATTCTACAACCAAATGTTTAATAAAAATAAAAGAGTAGATTGAGAAGATTCCAAAGTATTTTTTGTGCATCCCTTACAGGTGAAGAGCATTTACTAAAGCAAGCAAATCAGCAGACACCTGTCAGCCTGAGTATTCCTCCACCTTTTGCAACTGAACTATGATGGTTATGTTTAATTACAAGATGGTGGCATTAAAAATAAAAATTTTATTTACCTCAAATGGATGTTGTTTCTTGGCTTTGTTTATCCTTTCTTCCATATTATCAAATATTTTGACTTACAATTTTTAATTACCTTTTAAATATAAACAAAATAAAAGATTTTACTAACAATGGTTTTTTGTTTTTTTTGTTTCGTGTGTGTGCTGGGATTGAATTTAGGGCCTCAGACTAACTGCTGTACCCTGAGCTTTACCTCCATCCCCTACCAAGACCTTGTATGCATCTTTGCCCTTGCTAAAACACCTTTCTCATCAGTTAATTTCAAGGGTCAATTTCGTTCTGTTCTGTAGTTTGGTGTCTGGATACTAGATTTCCATTATCAGCAGCTCAGATCTTTTGTGAGAAGCTTGAGGCAGGATGTGAAGCTACAGGTTACAGTTCTGAGACAGTAATAGTAAAACAAGTCAACATTTCTACTCCTTTTCCTGATATCAGCATGGGTAGTTCTGACCAAGCAAGACTTTATGCAAAGAGCAGTGTGGGTCTTTTTTTAAAAAAATATTTTATTTATTTTTATGTGCATGAATATTGCCTGCATGTGTGTAAGTGCACCCATGTCATGCAATGCCCACTTGAGGTCAGAAGGCATCAAATCCCCTGGAACTGGAGTTACAGATGGTTGTTGGCTGCCATGTGGATACTGGGAATCCAACCTCTGCAGTCAGTGCCCCTTAACTGCTGAGCCATCTCTCCAGGTCCTTTTTTTTTTTTTTTGGAGACAGTCTCTCTGTGAAGCCCTGGCCTGGAACTAATTCACTATGTAAACCAGGCACCAGGCTGACCTTGAACTCAGAAGTCCACCTCCATCTGCCTCCCAAGTGTTGGTATTAAAGATGCACACCACCAAGTACAAATGATTTCTTTTTCCTTTTGAATATGAGGTAGAAATAAAATTGTCATTTATCAGGGGCTGGAGAAATGACTCAGTGGTTAAGAACTGGTCCAGTTCCCAGCACCCTCACCCAGCGAGGAGCAAGGAGCCGCCTTCGGGCAGTTGCTAATCAGGCTGCCTCACTGAGGTTTTAGAATTTGAACTGTCAGTGTGGCCAGAGCTGTTCGCTTACCATCCAATCCTGACCAACTGCTTGGAACTCACCCCTCATTTGCAGGCACCCCTGGTACAGGGGGGTTTGTTTTGCTGTTTCTTTTTCAACGAGGTAGTTAATCTGCAGTGAAGATGAAGATCAGATCACCTTCACTGGTCGCCACGTGGTTTGAGGTATGAACAGCAAAAACCTCAGTAGGGAACTGGGATGTTCTTCGAGTGCCACTGAACACAACCAATGGGTTTGTTGTGGTGATCCCTTTGGGGTATCTAACCAGACAGTTATGTCGCCTGCGAACAAAGACACCTTTCTAGCATTCCTTCACAATCTGCATAAAACTTCATTTCACTCTCTGGTCGTATTACATAGCTAGGGTTTCCAGTTAAATAGGAGGAAGGAGCGCAGACATTTACCTAATTCCCAGTCACAGGGACGAAGTGGATGTTCTTTTGCCGTCAAATACAGATTTAACTAAATGATTTTTGGAGATATCCCTTACCAAGTCAAAGAAGTTCATCTCTATTCCTAACTTCCCAAGAGTTTATATTGTGAGTGCTGGGTTTCAGCAGACACTTTACTCTGATGTACTGCCTTTCTTACGCTAGTTGATGCAATGATCACATTAATCTGTTTTTTAATGCTACCCAGCCTTGCACACCTGGGATAAATGCCACTTGGTCAGGGGTGGGTTTGATTTGCTACTTGATCTAATAGGTACTTTTAACCTAAAGGAAAATTTTAAGAAAAAAAAAAATTGAGAGTGAGTTTCATGTAACCTAGCTGGCCTCCTAACTATGGAGCTGAAGATGACCTTGAACTCGTGGTCCTCCCTGCTTCCATCTGCTGAACATCTGAATGACAGACCTAGGCTACCATACCCAGTTTTTATGTGATGCTGGGAATTAAACCTAGGCCTTTGTCTAAGATAGGCAAGCACTCTACCAAGTGAGTTACATCCCTAGTCCCATTTCTGTTGTTTTTTAAGATAAGGTCTCACTATATAAGCCAAGCTGGTCTGACACATTGGATTCTCTCTCTGTCTCTCTCTCTCTCTCGCTCTCTCTCTCTCTCTTTCCTTTTTATCACCTATACATTTCCCTTTTCCTGAAGAATTTCTTTTTAATATTTCTTGCATGGCAGACCTGGCAAAAAATTCTCTTAGTTTATATTAAGACAGTCTTTATTTTTCTTCATTTTTGAAGGATAATTTTATTGTGTAAAATTCTATGCTGGCTTTTCTTTCAATACCTTCAGTATTTCTACATTTCTGAAGAGAAATACAATGTAATTCTTACTCATGTTTCCCCTACAGATAAGATTTTTTTCTCTTTTCCAAGATTTCCTCTCTTTGGTTTCTGCAGTTCAAATATATCTAGGTGTAAATTTTCTTTTATTTCTATTCCTTTTTATTTTCTGGGGGTTTTGTTACTTTTAAGTTTTTTTTTTTTTTCTTTTGGTACTGGGACTTGAACCTAGGGCCTCATACAGGCAATATATGGCTTTCCCATTGAGCTAAACCCCAGCTCCTACTTACACATGACTTTTTAAAAAAGATTTGATGTGTATGAGTGTTTTGCCTGGTATCTAACTCCACCACCTGCATGCCTGCTGCCCATGGAGGCCAGAAGAGGGTGTTGGATCCCTGGAACTGGAGTTAAGGATGGGTGTAAGCCACCATGTGGGTGCTGGGTGGGAACCAAACCTGGGTCCTCTGGAAGAGCAGGAAATGCTCTTAACCACTGAGCCATCCCTTTAGCGCCACATGTCACTTTTTGTAATTTTCCCACAGCCCTTAGATATCCTTCAGGTTCCACTTTGTCACTTTACATTTACTGTGGGAAGTTTCTCTGGACGGTTGACTAATTCTTCCCTTGGCCATCCTCATCCGATAATGAGCCCATTGACAGTATTCGTTTCTTACTGTTTCTTGCCTTTCACTACTGTATTATCCATTGTTGCTGCACTGGATCCCTGTTGATATGGAAGCAAGCCATCTGGAAAGCACTCTATCACACTATGATCATAACTCTTTCATTATTTGTATTGTGTATATGGGTGAGTAGGGTGCATGTGTGCCACAGTAAGTGTGTGGATGTCAGAGAACCACTTTTTTAGAGTTGGTTCTTGCTTTCCATCTCATTTTGAGGCAGGGTCTCTTGTTTCTGCTACATTTCCTACTCCAGGCTAGTTGGCCTATGAGCTTTGGGCCAATTCTCCAACTCCTATCTCACCACAGTAGTGTTGGAGCTATAGATGCACACCACATCTTTCTTACATGGTTTCTGGGGATCAAACTCAGGTGGTCAGGTCTGTATGGCAAGCACTCTTACCTGCTGAGCCATCTCACCAACCCCCTTATTTCTATTTCTTGGTTAGCCTGAGTCCCTGGACTTTGATTTCTAGAAGCTTATTATTTTTCTTCCACTTACAGGAAATAAAAAGGTTTAAAGGAGGCTAGAATTGTCTATCCATTCTCTAGGTCAAAGTTCTGACAAAGTAATTTTCTTTTACAAAATTTCCTTTAAAGAGCAGACCTTTCTTATGGAAAATAATTTGGGTATTATTTCAAAATAAGCTGCTTTCCTCCTGAGTGTATTTCAAAACAGAGAGTGTACTTCAAAAGTTGGTTTCCTCTCCCCCAGCTGCCTGAAACACAAGGGGATCTTGATCTTAACCATGAAAGCCTGGTAGAGGCAGTTATAGAACAACTCAAGCTAGTCCATGCTTAGTCTCCAGGAATGGCACTATGGTTTTGGTGTTCTAAGAATTCACAGGTTCCAGCAGCATCTTCCGATTCTCGGTACCTGCCCATTTCCCCAGGTTTGGGAATGGTTTGTCCAGTGACTTCAATTTTTTGATATATCTAAGGCACTGGTTTTCAACCTGCTTAGCTCTTTTTTGTTTGCTTATTTGTTTGAAACACTGCAAGTGGGTAGGTGACTCTTAAGCTCTTTCAATGTTGGGTTAAACTGGAAATCACCCACCACACCCTTTGTAAGCTCAGCCAACATACCCTCTGAGGAGCCTTCCTCAGCTGCCTTCTGCTGAAGAGGTCTTCCTATGCCATCAGTGCAACCCCAACCATTCAACTTCCTCTCTCGGCTTTGTGGCTCTGCATACCTGAGGCAAGCATTGTAACTTGTTTTTGTAATTTGTAGCATAAAATATAAATTAACATTTTTGTAAATTCAAAGAAAAGGAAATAGAACACTTCATCAATTAAAAACAAAGGACTACTTTTATTTGGCTCATTGCTCCATTTATTAGAATAACCACATTTGGAGAAGCACAAAGCACTTAAGTTTTAAATGACTACAAAGTTATCACAAATCCCAGACTTCTTACCACAGATATTTTACCTCTGCTTAAAGAAAGTTTTCAAAATATCTGAGTTAGTTTAATACCCAGATCCTGAATACATGGGAACTACATGTGTTTAAATGCTTGCACTTCCTGCCCTAGTATCTTCTTTAAATGGAATCCAGCATAGAAGGGACTGAAATGGGTAAGGTCATGACACAAATGCTTTGGAGGGACAGTAAAATCAATCTGCACAAAACAGCAATGATGCAGTGTGCACACAGTTCTGCAAGGACTCACTGAGCCATTTGGGCTTCCATGGCTTGTGCTGTCCATTCAGGGGCTGTCTGACTAATTTTTTCCAGAAGGTTATTCACTTGGAAACAAAGTGATTGGATCTGCTTGTCCCATGTTGGCAGAGCTTCTCGGGCTAAAGAGAAAAGGAAACAATGTAAAAAAATTGAAATTATTCCTTTGTACTTATAGCAAGTGGGTGTTAAAAGACAATACATAAGCACTAATTATTTTTACTTTATGTGTATAAGCATTATGCCTGCATGTATATAAGTATGTACATGTCATGCAGTGCCTGTGGAGGCCAAGAGAGGGCATCAGATCTCCTGGAACTGGAGTTTTAGATGGCTGTTAGCCGCCATGTGGGTGCTGGGAAGCAAACCCAGGTCCTCTGCAAAAACAGCCCAGTGCTCTTAACTACTGAACCATCTCTCCAGCCCCACTAGCATTAAAAATTTTTTAAAGTTTATTCTAAAAATCATGGTTGACAACATTAAGTACACAATAGTTAAGTCACTAGCACCAAGTACAAAATAAAACATAAAAACATATCCATGCCAGGCTTGGTGGTGTGTGCCTTTAAACCTAGCACCTGGGAAGCAGATGCAGACAGATCTTTGTGAGACTGAGGCCAGCATGGTCTACATAGTGAGTTCCAGGTCAGCTGGGGCTATAGGAACACTCTGTCTCAAAAAAACAAAAAACAAAAAACCAAGAAAACAAAAAGCAAGCCCCCCCAAAAAAACCCAGATATATGCTATCATTATTATTTTTATTTTATGTGAAATGAGTGTTTTGCACCTGTGTCATGCAATGTCTACAGAGGCCAACAGAGGACATCATATCCCTTGGAACTGGAGTTACAGACAGTTGTTAGCCACCCTGTGGGTGCTGGGAACCAAACCCAGGTCTTCTCTAAAAGCAGTCAGTGTTCTTAACCATTGGGCCATCTCTCCAGCCCCAATACATGTTATTATTAATAGTCTTGAAAATAAAAACTACTAGGGTTCCATAGACGCCCCCCCGCCCCGCAAACAATCCTAGTCACTGGCCCTGCTCTTGGTTACCCACTAGAACCTCACAGTAAGATCCTACTGCTGAAGATACTACATACGAGAACTATAGACAAACAAGGAGAAATCAAGCTGGTGCTGACTTCAAAGCCTCATCTCTATTGGCTAGCTTTCACAGCACTGGAAGGTGCTATGCCAGCTACATTAACCTTACCTAGCTGTGAATCCTGTGAGCTACAACAGAGCCTGGCAAGGTGTGCCCACCAGTGCAATAGTGATACAAATACTATGGGAGTAACCAACCACTTTCCAATTGGATTTAAGGTCCACTTCTGGATGGAGCCCATACCTGCCACGATATCAGGCCTAGAAACCTGAAGCCAGACAGGTCACAGGCCATGGGAGAGAACCTAATACTATTATTCTGCTAAATAAATACAGTATTAAACTGACTCCTAATGACTTATTGTTATACACATACATTAATGCATTGTTCAACTCTCAGCAAAGATGCTTCCTTATACAGCAGATAATAAACACAGAAATCCACAACTGGCCAATGTGCAGAGAATAAGAGGCTGCAAAGTAATTATCCCTGAATAAGACATCTATATCAAATTTCTGCTTCTCAAGGTTCAGGGATCATTGTGGAAAAGGGGTAGAAAGACTGTAAGAGCCGGATGACACCTGAAAAACAGAGTTTTTCAGGCATGTAGCAGTTATTCATATGAACTCACAGCAATGGTGACAGCATCCACAAGTCCCAAGTAAGCTCGAGCAAGATAAAAATCCCAACAAAGATGCAAAGAAGTGGGTAAGAAACCCCAATCCTATCTGAGGAACTATTGGCAACCAATGGCTGGTGGAAAGGGGAAGAGTCAATCCCGTTTAAAGGGGTGTGGTGGACTCATAGTAAGTTGACCAGGCTCCAATGGATGAACCCACACTGAAGGGGCATTTGGGGATGCAAACCTGACTCTAGGCCCTATTTTACATATATAATTTGAGTGCAGCAAACTGGGTGGAGGGTAGTAATGGGGGAGCAGATAGGGGAGAGAATCTAAATATGATCAAAATATAGCGTATGAAATTTGAAAAAATTCAAATATTTAAAAAAGGGAGAACAAAAACAAAAACAAAACTAGGGAACACTCATAACTACAAAGACCACAAGAGGCACCCTGAAGTGGTTTCTCTCCACCAGTGTTTACTGGCTGATGAATACTGCCATCTGCTGGAGAAAGTAAGTGGGTTTATCTATTCAAGGACGTGACCAAAAATACATGTAGCAAACATTAAAGCAAAAAACATCAAAGTAAAATCCACTCAAAACACTATCTTGAATCCCCTTCTTTAAAATAAAATGAGCAATTATGCAGTCAGACATGAGAAACTGGGATTCAATCAATATAGCATTTTAAAAGGGCACAGATTTAATGAAAAAAATATAATCAGAAAGGACCCAAGATTGCTGAGTACACATAAATCACATTCCAAGGCAGAAATACATAATGTCATAAAAACATTAACTTTTTTCCTTCAGTATATAAATTTAATGAAATTCCAAAAATAATTCCCCCTTTTCAACTTTGTTTATTAAAGGAAAGGAAAGAATTGGTGTCTGAGGCTAGCCAAGAAAAAGATAATTTTGCAGATAAAGAACAGCGACAGAATTGTGGTATACCCATATAATGGATTACCAGTCTACCTTAAAAGGGACTGAGTACACGCTACAAAGAGGAGGCATCAAATAAGTGACACAACATGGATAAACCTATAAGTTACCATGTGGACTGAAAGAAGCTAAAAGGACATATAGGTATGATTTCATTGAATGAAATACCCTAAATACATAATCCATAGAGACAGCAGCAGATTGGTAGTCACTAGGAGCTGAAGGGAAGAACAGGAGTAACTGTTTAGTAGGCACAAGATTCCTTTCAGGGAAACAAAAATATTTTCGGAACTAGATAAAAATGGAAGCTGTGGCGCTGGAGAGATGGCTCAGTAGTTAAGAGCACTGGCTGCTCTTGCAGGCCCAGGTTTGATGCCCGACACTCACATGGCAGCTAACAATTGTCTTGTAACTCCAGTTCTAGGGGAGTCAACGCCCTTTTCTGGCCTCCATGGGCACTGCATGATATAGGTGTACTTACATACAGGTAATACATTCATATAAATAAAAATAAATTTTTTTAAAAGATGGAAGTTATACAGCATGATAAATGTATTATAGTACAGGTCACTGAATTGCTTAATTTAAAATAAAAATCAATAAAAATGTTTGTTACAGCTGTTTATTAATATTGTTACGGATCAGTGGAATGAAGTAGTGTCAAACATATAACAGAAGCTAACATATGTCAAAGATCACAGTTCAATTCACAGGGGTGTTTTATTTAATAAGTTATTTTTGCATAAATTAGCTATTCTTGAAAAAAAAAATAGATCATCCTGAATTAATCATAAACCAAACTCTAGATAGATAGAATTTCTATATACAAAACAACAAATGAAGATATCAGAAGAAACTTTAGGAAGGCACTAACTTTATCCTAAAGCAGATTTCAACTTTTTTTCAACATGGGAACATAAAAATTTTAAACTGACATATTTAGCTAGTTTTTTTTTTTTTTTTTTTTTTTTTTTTTTTAAAAAAAAAAAAAAAAAAAAAAAGAGGACGATAAATCTTTCACTGTGATATATCAAAATAACAACTGGCCGGGAGCTTACTATGTAGCCCAGGCTGGCCTAGAACTCACAGAGGTCCGCCTGCCTCTGTCTCCCAAGTGCTGAGATTAAAGGTGTGCACCACCATGTCCAGCTTAGCTGAATTTTTTTTGTCTTTCAGAAAAACAAATGACCAACTGAGAAAACATTTGTAACACATATAGCAAAATTAAAGTGAGGATTATACCAAAAGATGCAAAAAAAATTGATACTAGAAGAACAGAAAGAGAGTGTGGCAGAAAGGAGAAAAACAGGCAAGGAAAAGTAATTTACAAGAGAAGAAATACCAAATACATGGAAATACACTTTACTTCATCAATGTCAAGAAAATGTACACTAAAACACCAATGTAATTTCTTGCTACCAATTGGGAAAAGGTAAGAAAGCAAATACTATCCAGCTGTTGACGATTCATTCTCTATACTGGTAAAATCCTAAATGGCTATACTTTTCTAGAAAGCAAGTTGGTAATGTCCCTTTAAAATAAAAATTCATATATCCTCTGATGCAACATTACTTTTGAGACTGTTTTCCAAGGAGCAGGACACTGATGTTGGACATGCCCTGGAAAGTAAGACCAGTAGCCTGTCACCAAGAGGCTTAGTTTAGCAGATACAGATGTCAAACAATTACACAGTGAAAATAAGATTAATGCTAGAGAGAAATCCAGGGTGATGTGAGAGCATGTGATTTAAAGACATACCTAATGTGGACAGGAAAACCACTACTGATAAACATGGTTCATTCAAACTGAGACATGGGGACAAAAAGATGGCAATTAGAGAGGGTGGATATTTTACAAAGTATGAGGGGAAAAGGGAATTACAATGCTGGAAAGAGTAAAGAAGACCCATATGGACTGGCAGAAGAAAGCCAGAAAGAATCAGGCAAGGCCCTAGGAGATTTTTCATAGTATGTCACGCTATATGATCCAGACTAGTCTTGAAACTGGTCATGTGGCCCAGGCTGGCCTGGAACTCCAGATCCTCTTGCCTCAGCCTCCTCAATGCTAAGATTACAAGCCTGCATCACCACACCTGGCTCTATTTTTTGTTTTCATTTTTAAAAGTTCACAATTATTCACAATTATTCTAAAAACTCGGTTAGAAAGGAATTGTAGATAGGAGACAAAATTAAGAGATTATTTTTCAAGACCAGAAGAAACTATGAGCAAGGTTCTAAAAATATTAGTAAGTAATACAAAATGAATAACGGTTGGCAGGATGGCTCACTGTTTAAGAGCACTCACCACACAAACCTGACAACCTTAGAACCCACCGTGTACGAAGAGAACCAACCATCAAAAGTTGTCGTTTGACCTCCACATAGGCACTATGTCTTGTACACACCTGAACTCACACATACAATGATAATAAACATATATATATATATT